AGGTTGTCTCTTCACTCTGTTAGTGGTTACCTTTGCTGTGCAGAAGGTTTTTAATGGATATGATCCAATTTGTTGATTCTTTGTATTATTTCTAGTGTATCCAGCGTTTTTGTTCAGCAAGGTTTTGCCTACACCTATATTTTTATAATTTTTACCTATTTTTAATTCCAGCAGATTAACATTTTGAATGCACATGAAATTTTCAGTGAACTTGGTAATAAATAATATTCCTCCTTTATTGAGACAACATTGGTAAATGTTTTCCTTGTTCATATGTTTTTCTACAGCTCTAAATTTTTATTACTTTATTCTGATTTTTTTTGTGTGAATCGGTCACTACCATTTCAGTGTGAGTATTTGGCATTTTACTAAATTTTATTTGGAACATTGTAATACATACATAGAATATTATCATTAATATTATAATAAGAAAGGATGAAAGTAAATGTTCCAAATATATTGGCAATCTTTACATATTTGATTTGGCATATACTTTTAACAGCAAAAGCATGTTCTTGCATGATTCAGAATTGTATCTTTCTAGTATGTGGCTTTGCCAGAAGTTGCAAGGTACGCCTGCAAGACAGCCTGTGCAAGCATCTTCTAGGACTCCCGTAAGAGAGGTGGACAGGAGGCAAAACTTGGAGGTTAGTGAGCATTGCTGTGTGGGGGCATGTAACAGGGGATTGTGATGAAGAAAGCAGGACTTTCAACACAAGACTAGCCCACAGTTGAAAATGACAACCAATTATAGTCATTTTCTTGTTGACAGATATTTAGAATCTTATTTTTTTCCCAACTTGGAAATTTCTTCAGCAATAAAAGGGAATAAAAAGAAACAAAACACATTTCTATGATACATAAGTAACAGTCATATTTTATCCCTCACAAATCACTTTTTAGGGGAGATAGGAAAGGTCATTTTATCAATGTTAACTGTGCCTTTAGTGCACAACTTCTATACGTGCTGAGAAGTGTACTCACGCTCACTTTCCCGTTGCGATTGTCTTCTTCCCTCACAGCCAGAGCCTTCAGAAAACTATCCTGCAGGTCTTTACCAGCACTGGTTAGTGTCCTGTAGAAAGAAAGCCTTCAGTTATGTCACGTAACAAATATTCTTAAAACACTGGGGCCAAAAATAATGCTTCTTTATGCCAAGTACCAAGTTCCTTATAACATAGAAACAATGTGAAATCATGTGATCTACTAGATTCTTTTATTTAATTTCATGCAGTTATACAGGCTTTATTTGCAAATAATGAGTCAAGTCTATAAGTAACATATACACACATACCAGTACTCATGCCAGATTTAATTAATTTCATTTAAATGTCTCTTTTATTGCTTCCGTCATATCATGAAGATTCAAAAAATATTTACCCCTTCCTTCCCACCAAAAAAACATTAAATTGCCAAATATGTGTGGTTATGATACCTATAGTCCCAGCTACTCAGGAAACCTAGGCAGTAGGATCACAAGTTCTAGGGAAGACTTGGAAACTTACTCTGATCTATCTCAAGACAAAAATAAAGCAAAAAAAGTTGTGATATAGTTCAGCAACAGAGCCCTGGGCCAGTATATAAAAGGTTCTGGGTTTGGCCCCCCTGTATTGTGCAAAGCAAAAAACAAACAAAAATTGTCTGTAACTTAAATGTAAGTTATTTATTAATTTAAGGAAATGAAAATACTGTATTCCTAAAGCAATGCAATTAGTGGAATACAGCATTAATTTTAGTTCTATGAAGAGAGGTAATAAAGATGAGAAAGGAAACTAGGTTGAGATATCTTTGCTAGACAAAAGGAAGCATTAAGAATTCAAGGCAGACCTGAAAGTTTCAAGGAAACCTGTGTTGGTTTGGGGCTTATTATGCAAGGTGAAACAGTATAATACAGGACATATATTTTATAAGATTACTTATAATAGTCATCCAAAGAATGCTATACAAAAGAGTGCAGGAAATCTGTCCACACACTAAGACCAAGGAATTCAGCTGAGGGTCTGGATCCCATGGAAATATCCTACATGAGTCCAGCTGGATACCTAGAGCTCATAACAATGCCTCCTACTAATTCAACTGGAAGCCCAGAGCCTATGGCAATGTCTCATGCAGACCTGTTTCTCAGATCTGAGCTGGGAAGGTCCAAAGGTCAGTGGTGGAATCTAGAAAGTCTGTGCCAGCAGGATAAAGGATCTGTGCTAGCAGGCTGAAGGATCTGCACTGGAGCCAGGAAGCGATGCTCAGAAGAACCAGAGCTCCCCCAAAAGGTACCACAGAAATCCCCAGCAACAATGAGGTCCTGAGCTCCTCTGAAGATCAAGATGGCCAAGTTCCCATCAGGGAAGCCAATGCAGCAAGCTTCCCCAGGGGACTGGTAGTGAACCGTCTTCCCCTTCAGAGCCAGGAAGAGATGCTCAAAGTGAGGAGCAGAGCTCCCCCAAAGTGAATCAAAGTTATTCTCAGTGCCAGTGAGGTCCCAAGCTTCTCAGAGGACGAAAACAGCAAGTTCATTAAGAAAGCAGCATGATGAGCTCCTCCAAAACAACCAACTGCTCCTTCCAGCTTCCACCAGCTCCAAAAGCCTTTCTCTGCTCCCAACAGCCTCTCTCAGTTCGCAACAGCCTCTTTAGTTCCCAAAAGCCTTTCTACTTCTCCAGTTCCGCCTCTTATGCTGCTGGCAACAATCCCCAGGTGGGTCTCCCACACCCAACACCATGCTTACTCAGTTCAGCTGGGAGTTATAAGTTGACCACCAGTTGTCAATTTACCACAAAACCCATCACAGAGATTTCAGAAACACAGAACTACATAATGCAGAGAGGTCAAAAGTGATTTGTGAAACCACAATCTTATCTGACCTGATTTAGAGCCATTGTGGAAAGGACAGGGATGAAAGACTGGATTCAGAAGTGCTGAGGAGGTAACAGCAAACTGGCAACTGTGTTTGGTGAAGAGCCCATGAGCAATTGCTGCCAGGTTTCATTAAATCAATACAGACAATTAGGATAGGTAAGCTATTGATTATTTTGTTTACCTAGTAAAACAGCCCTGTAAACTGATCCTGACTTGTCTGCATTGGCCTCTAGAGCTTTATTGTCCTGGACTTGCAGTACCAATACCAACTAATGAGATACACATGAGAAATGACTGTTACTTAGTACCAATGAAGAAAGCCAGCTATTTAAGAATTTATCTATATTTTTCAAAAATGACTCCTCCAGATTATAATGTATCCTAAATACTGTTCTACCACCAAATCCACAAATTATAGAATTCATTTTGTCAGTTGATTACTCAAAAATCATGTTAAGGTCCAATTTGATCATCAACCCAATTCCACAGCAGGGCTTTTTGAGACAGAGTCTCTCTGTGTAGTTCAGGCTGGCCTTGAACTCACTATGTAGTCCAAGATGGCCTCAAACTCACAGTGATCCTCCTGCCTCAGCCTCCCAAAAGCTGTATTTATAAGCATATACAAATATACCTAGCAATTTTTTTCTTTATTTTTATAATTAATTTTATTGGTACAATTTAGATGTGCATAATGATCACATTCATTTTAGGGAATTTGTATCTGTACAATTTTTAAAAAAGTGTTACTGTAAAAGATAAATTGCTTTTGATGTCCTCATAAAATACTTCCCATTACTTCAAACACAATTATTCCATCATTCTTGCTACTTTCTGAAGCTGTTCTGGAAATTCTTTTTCATGGGTGTCTTTATGAAGTGTGATAAAAAAAATACGGTGACTGATTCTAAAACTATTTCAGTGTTTTTATCTACCTTATTCGGTGGATCTGGCATTCCATGACTTCTAGCTCTTCCCCAAAGTTAGCTATGAAAGATAAATGTTTTAAATTGATTTGGGACATTGAGACACACAGGACAACACAAAGATACTCGTGAAAGATGATTTTCAGAACTGCTTCAGAATGTGGCAAGAAAAATAGGATACATGTATTTGCACAAGATTGGAATATTTTGAAGAGAATTAATGACAATATGCCTTTAATGTAACAAAATTTTTAATAATTTAAACATTCGCAGTTTGTTTTCATCATACCTTATATATATCATAATTTGATGAGTTGTTCATGCTCACTTTATGTCATATTTTACAATTTACTGTTTTGTAGCTACTGCTGTTGTTGCTGTTATTTCTGGGAATGTGCATGCAATCATCAAAATTATCCCCAGATATATCTGAGATAAAATGCTAGAAAAATAGATTTCTAGGTACCACTGATAAGGAAGACAAGAGACTCTAAATATTCTTCCAGGCCTGGCTTCTTTCTTATGGGCCTGGGTTTTCAGCAGGTTTTTGAGCCATTCAGGGAAAGGAAGCAAATTCTTGCTGCACCTTGCTATGGCGGAGATTGTTCTCCCTTCTTCCATTAAAATGGAAGCCTCTGTTTTCAACTGGGGACATAGTTGCCTGGAATAAAGAGCCCTTTTCTTAATCTTGCTGAAGCTAGGTATGTCCATGTGACTAATTTTTACACGATGGGATCCAAATGAAAATGATGTGCAAATTCTAGGAGCTGCATCTAAAAGGAGGCAGGTACACATGTCTTCCTATAGCTATAATGCAATATGACCACAGTTCAAAATGTCATCTTAGACTCAAACTAAAAGCCAAAGGTCAGTAGTATAGAAAAACAAGAAAGAAAAAAAAGATACCCTGATATCTTGGGGCACCAGCACAGCTTGGCTTGACACTATCTTGTCTTCTTCCACATGAGACTGAAAAGAATTTATATTGTTTCAGCCACACTGACTTGGGTTTTTCTATTATATTTAGCCAAGTCTAATCCCAATAGCTAATTCACCCTATGAACCTGGCACATCCTCCTGAAGAAGGTTCTGGTCTGTGATGGGCTTAGTGACCAGACTGAACTCTAACTTTATCTGTAATAGTCTAAGGTTTTCCTGTTAAAAAGAAAAATTTGTGTTATTATCTGTTTCTTTCTTCTATGTATGCCTCTTTTTAATTTATGTCTTACACTCTGAGTAATTACTTTGAAGATAAAGATACACAGTGTAGTAACTATTGTTATTCTCTTACTGATTAAAATAAAAATAAAATTAATATTTTGAGTAGAGGTGCAACCTTTTAAACAGAACCATGAAATAATGAAACTAAATAGAAATATAAGATGAGGCACTAGTTTTTAATTTGTACTCACCCTTTAACTGACTAGTTGGAATCACTACATTTTCTGACTGTGGATTGCATGGTAGTCTGAATAATCTTTAAGTCCCCTACATGCTCCAAAGCTTATGATTTAAGTTTATCATATGGTATTAAAAATCACCAGACCATTAACATATAATCAGTCTAAGGAATGTGTCTATTATACAGACAATACATGAGATCATGCTGCTGCTTCTGTACTGTTTTGAAAATCTTCCATGCCAAAATGAACTTCATTTCCTAAAACTCTGTTAGGAAGATAGAAGAGCTTTTACTGTATAAATTAGAACATGGAGGATAAGCATTTATGATTGCACAACTACTTTCGCAGAGAAAAAAGATTACATAAATAACCTTTCTTACACCATGCTGCAGCTGGGAACTTGAAACTTCTCAGGAAGAGGAAATACTAGAAAAGAAAGTTAATAGAAAATGTGTGGTAAGGATTTCTTAAATCTTTAACATGCATTATTGTTATTTAACTAGATTTATTTAACAGTCAGTGACCTGAGAAACCTTGCTTAAATAAATATTACAAAAGGAGTTATTTCCTCAAGAAGTGAAGTAGATCTGTTACAAAATCTTAGGGTTATAAGTTTTATAAAGGTAAATACTTCATCTTTCTTGTTTACACTCCACTACACTTTCAAAATGGGGTAAAAGTTACATGGATCAGTTAATTTTTAACAACTCTGTTTAATCATTAGCTGAAGGTATTTATATAATCCTACACACGTGACTAAACAGTCTTAATCCTCAACAATTAAACTACTGGTTTTATTATTTAGGTATGTTGTTTATGTATTGCATTACATATTTATATTATTAGGTTAGCTAATAAAGAGGAAGAATAAATTACAAAAGAAAATTCTGTAAAAC